GATTAGAGGAACAGTATCTTTTTTATCTCCTTGTTACAGGAGTCACTGGTTTCAAGTGTATATAAGCACTGGGTATTTACATGAAACACAAAAACTAATGGCCTTCTTACCACTCTTGAGCACTCACTCCTTCTCCATTCATATTTTAAGAGCTTACATTTACACCTAATTTGAAAAGTATTTCAGGAATTATAACAATGAAAATGTTCATGATTCTTTAGTTCAGGCTCCTTTTCCCCTGTTAGATAACAAGGGAAGTTTTTTTGTTTTTGTTTTGTTTTGTTTTGTTTTGTTTTGTTTTGAAGCATGCTTTCTTTTCATCAGTCACTTGCAATATCTTTCACTTCTGATGTGACTTAGACATGGTGAATGTGTTAGAAATACTGTTGCATGACCTATGTGGACCTGAAGAAAAGTCAACTCTAAGACTTTGGACACAGAGGGGAGAACCTATGAGGGACTGAAGCAGTGGCTGATGGGGAGTATTTTTATCACTCCCTGGGCAGTCTCTGCCTATTGAAATAGACCCTCATATAGCTGACCCTTAAACAACACAAGGGTTAGGTAAACTGACACCTATACAGTTGAAAATTCACATAAAATCTTGACTTCCTCAAAACTTAACTAATAATAGCCTACTTGACCGAATTCTTTGCTATCACTAAATCTTTATTTGCTAATTGTTATTTTTGCAAACTATCTTCATATATATGTATATATGATCAAATATATGGCAACATAATTTTCCAAATTATATGTTAAAAAATATATTGACTTTATATTGGTGGCATTATGGATCTCTTATCATGGAACATTAATAATTTGAACAAAAAATAATTGAAGGAGGAATAATTGACTGAAATTATATCAATCAATGTTAGTTTGAATGCTTGGGAAAAAATGATCTGAAAATTGGTTAAAAAGCAAAGAAATTTACAAAAGAATTATTCCTCAGTTGTGTGATAAGACAATTTGAAGTGTTTACAGTTGAAATGTAACAAAAGTGAATAAGAACACTGTTTTTTAGTAACATATTTTGGAAAAATGAAGGAATCACCATATATTCATTTACATTTAAATGGTAGTCACAAATGACATTTTATTTTGCAGTTCACTATAAAGCTAACATTGAGTAAGAATATGTAATGTATAAATATCAATATATGACTATACGTATGTTCACACAGTTATATGTGTTGTTATGACTATGTTTGTGCATATATATTTCATTACATTCTTTCCTCTCTACTTAGTTTTTAATATGGATTTATTTCTCCTTAATCAACCTGATAAATTGATTAAACAATTTTATAATTGTAATTATGTCCATAATTATGCTTATAGTAGTTTTGCTGTTACTTTTAAAGGGGCCTAACACTACTCATAGACAAAATAATAGCTTACCCACTACTGTGACTTCTTTGAAAGTCGGGCTAGATAAAAGCTATATATAAAAGTTACTCATGAAACCATTTGATTCTTTCCCATAGAATGTTCCTTTAACATAGAAAGAAAGAATTAGAATGAGTTACAATCATTTCTAGGCAAGGCCATAGTGTGTTTGTTTCACATTCTAGGAAACTGAGGCAAGATGAAGTTAGCAGGGGGTAGGTTAAGACTTCATCATAGAGTAGATGCCCTATGTATAATTATGTGAACAAGTCCACTTTGGTGCCTAGAATATGTCTGGACGTGTTACCCATTTAAAGCAATTTTCTAGTATAAATTAATTTAAGCCTATATATTTCTTGAAGTAACATCTTTAAAAGTAGTTTGACTCAAACTAGCATGACCTGGAAGTCCAATCTTGTGACTGTTAGTCATGATGTGGGGTTTCTTTAAACGGTGGAGGGGGTGATTTTTATATGTGATTAGACGGCCTTCATATGAACTGAAAATCATCTGAGGGTGGAGGCAAACCTGTGCATGGCTACCTAACACAGCCTTCTCTGCCATCCCAGGGGAAGGGTGAGTTAGGAACCTCTCATCTCATCACTTGTGGTTCAAGTAGGTAGACAAGATGGCAATTTTTAAGACTATTTTGAAGGATGAAAAGCAGCTAAGTCAGCTGCCTTGCTTCTTATCCATAACCCCTCCTATAGGCATGCAGTGTATTAGTCCAAGCCTCCATCTGACTTAGACTCTTCCAATCATCTATTGCAGTTATTGTCATTTGATTTCTCCTCTCCCTTTTATGTGCCTTTAGGATTTATTGACTTTTAAAATATTCATTTTTTTCTTGAGTAAGAGGAGTTAGGGGATGGGAAGCTGAAACATGTGATCAATTTGCCATTTTTCACTAGAAACCTCCATGTACATTTATGTTTACCCCTGCACTAGGTTTATTGGATGATAAACCTCCTGACAGAAATTATATCTATTTAATTTGTGCTGCATCAACGTCAGGGATAAGAAGGCATTTATTTTGTATTATGTCACAAGATGCTATCACCTGTTTCCCTGGTTTTCCAGGGTTTTTTACTCTGCTCTGGTCTGTTACCTCTATTCAGAGTGGCCTTTCTGAGTGACCAAGCATCCTTCTTCTCATGCTCTCCTACCACCCTCGCCTCCTCAGCACCATTTCCTTAGGGGAGGAGTGGAAGGTGGGCTCTCTGAGTAGCTGAGCAGCATCACTCTGCAACACGAGTGCCTCTGAGCTTCAGAACCTGAAAGACAGGACCTACAGGGCAAGTGACTGCAAGAGAGCTGTCCCTGCAAGAGTTGACCCTAGCTGGCAGCTGACACACTTAAGTAGGGGAGGGTGACCAGGAGAGCAGGCCCTAGACTTTCTCACAGCAGGGACTGTTCCTAGCTAGCAAGGAGGCAGTACTGTGTAGTGACCACCTTGAGCCCTGCCTTCAAGATCAGAAGATCTGAGTTCTACATTTAGGGACCTTTGTGATTCTGGGCACTTTCTCAACCTCAGTTTCTTCATTCTTAAAATGGGGACAATATAAATGATAAATGACTTTCCTATTTCAAAGCAATGTCATGAAAGTTAAATGAGATGTTCTATGGGCAAGAGCCTTATAAACTCTACTGCATTCAGGAAAATATAGCCATTCGGATTCACGTGAGTGAACATATGCAATGGGTGAAGATTATCGTTGTATAGCACAGATAATTATTTTAAACTAGTGACTTGGTGCATGGATTTGTGCACATTGAAAGGAAATTAATTAGGAGGTGGCCAGGACTGGGTGAGATGGGCCAGGCATGCCCTGGAGCCAACACCCAGTGGTCCCTCCCTGGCCAGCTGCCTGTGGGGTGGCGCCATGGTTTGAAAGGCCTCTGTGGAGTGAGTGGGGCCCCTCTGGCAGGTGGGGTTCCACAGCCTGGCCTAGGAGATCGGGCTTAACTGGCTCTCACACATCCCCCGAAGGGTCCCAGAGTGCGGAGGGCACTCAGCAAAGTTGCTGTTGTACTGGGTGTGGAACGCAAATGCAAGTGTGCAGCAAACCAGATTCGGGGCCCATAGTGCCCCAGCAATAACATACTCCACGGCCGAAGGTGGAAGTACACGTGGTCCCTCAAGGAATTGGGCTCCCTCCTCTCTGTTTCAGGGTGTGTCACCTGAGAACCACCACTGCCAAGTCACTGCAGCTCAGCAGCTCCTGTGTTGAACACCTGCTCCCTTGTGGACAGGGCACGTCATAGCGATGGTTGGATGGAAGGAGGAACACTTAGCATATTAGCCTTTTATATATATAGATTAATGTACTATGTATAGTGCAATACATCCAAGTTTGTTATGTTTAGTCTTTTATCTCTTTCCAGGCCCCAGAACAAGTGTGGACACACACTTGTTATATAGTTAGATATTGTTCATGAGTGTGAAATAGATTTATCACAAATATAGATTGCCAGCATACAGTATATGTTTTGAAAATCTACAACCTGAACCTCTTATACTTTCTCCTGGTTGATCAGAATAATTTATATGAATTAGACTTTACTTTGAGAGAATAAAGTAGATAAGTGCCACCAAAATAATAAACTTAGCCAACATATGCAAAGCATTTTCTGTGCTACACATTGTTCTGTGCACATTACTGATCTGAACTTATAACCCTATGAAGGTTTTTTATTATCCCCATTTTCAAGATGGGACCATTGAGACACGGAAAGTAGAACTTCTTCCATATTTTCCTATAGAATAAACAAATTCTTTTGGGGTCAATGCTCCTCTTCTCCACTACTTTGCTATTGTTTGTGTTTCATTTTGATTTTGGGGTATTCCCTTACCCCCCCTCACCCGACAGCACTTCCCCAGGAGACACTTCCTAGCTGGTTCTCTAAGCACTCATTTCCTTGTTGACCATCATGAGTGCAAGCAACAGGTTGGGAACTTTTAAATATTTTTCACAGAGTAAGAAATAGCTGCTATCCGATGTATATGACCTGGGATTCCTACCTTTACATTAGTCTGTAAACTAGGGGTGTGAGTCTGTCTGAACTGTGAGCTCAAGGGAGCCAGTCAGGATCCCTGTTGTGGGTGAATCAAAGTGTCCAGGATAGGGTGTGCCACATAGTAGGTTCAGTGCCTGTGTGTCCTCCTGATTCTGTTTGATCTCTATTTGCTAACCTACTGATCTCTGAAGTGCCTAGGAGGCAAAGCTTAGCCTGTGCATACTGATGAATGTATGCATAGCCACAGATCCTCACTTTTAAAACAGGAATTTCGAGCTGCCCTTCCATTTCCTTGGCCTTTCTCTGTTCTTCACTGGCAATTTCTCACTCTCTATAGTTAATGAGACATTCCCGAGGGAGAGAATGAGAATGCAAGGCGTTGGGAGCAGTTCTCACAGTGCCCTGGGCTCTCTTTTGATATATATCAAAAGAAAAGCCAGGGAAATAAGGAATAAAAATGAGCTGCTGCGAGGGCTCGAGGCTGCACTAGGAGAATTTAACCAGGAGCCAAGCGCCTTTGAGTCACAACCAAGATTGGCCCGAGGTGTGTGCTCTGCACATCCGCCTTAGGAGCCGGAGACACGCCTTCTTCTCACACAAACCTCCCAGAGCCAGGCGGCTGTGCGGACCCAGGGGTGGTGCTCGAGTCGCTGTCCAGACAGACGGGCAGGGGCCGGGGACCGAGCCGGAGCCACAGGTTGGCAGGAGAAGGAGCCGCCTTCGCGATGGTCGCCCTGTAGAGCAGATCCCGCGTCAGTCCCCGCCGGAGTGGAAGCCAGCCCCGGAGTCCCAGCTCCGGGAAGGGGAAGGGGAAGGAGCCGCTGCAACCTGACACCAGCCCCTCGCGCCCGGGAAACTTCGCGAGCTGGTGAGTCGGGTTGTGCTGTTGGAATGTGTTCCCACCCACTCAGGGCATCTCAGCGCCCGGCCTTGGAGAAGGAAGTGAGACGTGGATGAGGCGAGGGGAGCCTGGCCGGTGTGAGCGCTGAGAGCCGCAGAGCCTGCCCGCAGGGATCCTAGCCCGAGCGGTGGTGTGTGTGCGTGCGGATGGCAGCAGGCAACTAGCTGACTGTCTTTTTTTTTTTCTTCTTTTTTTTTCTTTTTTCTGTATTTGCATTTCAAACAGCTGGTGAGGATTAAAAAACTGGGCACCACCGTGGCAATTTCCTTCTCAAACAACAACCAAGGATTAATAACGATGATGATCGTTAATGAGAACGTGTTTAGAGTTTCATGTCAGGAGAAGTCATTTAGGGAGGCGGGCCAGGCAAATGCTCACACATGTCTTTGCCCTTCCTCAGGTGAAAGAGAAGCAGAGGATGAAAAAGTAAATTCAGTCCAATGTTTTGCTCAGTTGTGTTGTTCCTCCCGCGCCCAAAAAAATATTCTGATCCAAGTGTTGCGGTAACAAGGTGTGAGCAAATGTATACCTTCAAGTGGTGACACTATATTAGCTTTCAAGAGTTTCCCACCCAATACAACATAATCTGAAAATTATTGAAGCAGGTGAAATGTGACTAGCAAGGGAACCTAGAGGCTGCCTTCCTAGGAAAAATGTATGTTTGGTTAAAGTCACTCTCCTATAACAAGGTCTGAAATTAAGGGTAGAAGATTCCAGTTGTTTAAATGGTTAACTTAAGCCCAATTTAACAACATGTAGTTTCAGGATTATTAGGAACAAAACTATTATTTAACATAGTAATAGCTATGAATTTTCTCTTCAGTTCTGTTTAAGAGAAAATTTTGTGGTTTAAAAAAATATTTAGTTACTTTCATGCATATTCAGTAATATAAAATCATATATGTATCATGTACATAGTTTATAGTTTTACATTTTAAAAGTTAACAGAAAAGATAGACTTAGCATAATAGCCTAGGTATTTAAGTTTATTGAATTGTCAAGTTACTATAAAGTTCAAATAGTAGTATGAAGTGATAGATCCATTCCCCCTAAATATATTTCATAGTTTCCTAACATAATCCTCTACCCAGATGGATCAGTCTTTCTGGAAAGAAAGGGGGGATTCTTACAGATGACAAAAAAAGAAAAGAAAAGAAAAAAGAAGTATTGTTGGTAGTTTGATATTAATGAGGCATTTCTGTTTAAGAAATGACTATGGCCTCCTATGAAATGTTACCATCATTGATTTCAAAAGGAAAATAAAACATTGCAGATGAAACTGGATGGGCCTGTTCTCACAGTTGCCAACAAGACATAAAGGAATCTGTCATAAGTGAGCAAACCACTCTCTCATGGGTTGTTTCTGGAACAGGAATACTTGACCTGATAGGGAAGGTAACCCTAGGATAACTGATCATCTCAGCTCATTGGCACACCAGCTTTTACTAACATTATCTGCTGGTGTCTGAATTGCTTTTCATGTATTGAACTACTCTTCTGGAAAAGTGGAAGTCATCCAAAGCCCCAGGTGGTTCAGAACAGAAATCTGCTCTTTTCCCACCCTCACTTGGAGATTTCGGGTTAGTTATTTTTTTTTATTTTTAAATCATTAGAGCATGAAATGTAGGCCAATTATTTACATAAAACTCAGCTCATAGTTAATCCAGTTTCTTGAGTTGAATCATCAAGGCAGGTTAACCAATAGTTAAGCTCTTGAGCAAGTAATGCAATGTTGAGATGCAGGAAAACAATTATAGTAAAAGCAGACAGGACAAACAAGTTGTTTTCCATATCAAATATGTCCCTTTCTAAAGATGATGATTAAAGGACAATTATTTTTTTGCTCATTGTTAGGTGTATAGGGAGCTTGAGTTCATTATATGGTTGTAGGAAGTAGGACTATCACTAAGGGCAGTAAAACCCTATTGTAAACCTCATAAATGAAGTTGAGACTATTAGTTCCCCATAAATGGAGCTCAGAATATTACTTACTTTGCTTTGTACCTTTTGCAATCATTACTCATATTCCCTAAATATTAACCTTTTCTCATAGGCCCTCCTTACATGAAGAAAACTTGATTAGAGTGTTGATAATGAGAACAAAATTCTGTTTAAAAAATAGCTTGAAGTATCTTCAGTTAGACACCTAAGTTAATAAAGAAATGAGCAATTATGGAAGTTTCAATGCTATTAAAATATTTAAAGTATAATCATGAGAGTGACCTGGGATGGAGAGGAAGGCTTGGTGTGATTCAATGGTCCAGAGAGAGCCTCAGGGAGGCCTTCATTTTATTTGTTATATATTTTTATTTTTAATCCTCATCCAAAAATATTTTTTCCATTGGCATTATTATTATTATTATTATTATTATTATTATTATTTTGAGAGAGAGAGAGAATGGTAGGGAGGGAGAAGGAGAGAGAAAAGGAGACAGAGAGAGGGAAAGATTGGTTGCATCCTACATGCACCTCAATTGGAGTCGGGGATTGAACCTGAAACCCAGGTATGTGCCCTTGACGAGGAATCAAACCTGTGACACTTCGGTCCATGGCCCGATAACTGAGCCACATGAGACAGGGCAAGGCCATCTTTTTAAAAGATCACTATGGCCTCAGTGAAGAGAACATATTATATGGGGATCAGAATAGACCAGTTAGGAGGGTATTCCAGTAGGCCAGAGATGACCTACTAAAATAGGTGGAAACAGTGATCCGAGAGAGCAGTGGATAAATTCAGGAAGTATTTGAAGCCAGAGATAATAGGACTTGCTGACTAATTGGATAAAGAATGGGAATGAAGGAAATGAGAAAACAAAATGATCACCCAGTTTTTTGCTGGAGCTATCGGGTAATGGTAAAGCCATTTCCTAAGATGGATAAAGAAAAACAATTCATTTCCAGACCTTTAATATTTTTAGGTATCCAAGTGGAAATGTAAAACTGGGCTTTTGGATATAACCTCCTGGAGAACTTGGGAGAAGTCATAGGCAAATAGAGAAAGTTAAGAATCAAGTGCCCATGAAGGCTATTTCCAGCCATGATCTTGAGGACATCACCCAATTTGGAATCATTGGCAGCTTTGACAGAAGATGGAATTTAAAAAAAAGAAAAGAAAAGAAAAAGAGTTCAGATAAATTAACTAAAAAAAAAAAAAAAAAAATTGGAATTAGCACTTCCCATTATCCCAAGAAAGATACCACTAGAGCAGTGTTTCCCAAACTTTTGACATATGTGTACCCCTTCTATAATTTTCGTAACGCTGTGTACCCCTCGTAATCATGAGAACGTAGAATTAGGCGCAGCTAAGCATGGTGCAGTGCATATCCCCACCAAACTCCAGTGCAACACCTACCCCCACCAAACTCTTCCCGTACCCCTGGGGGTACGCATACCATATTTTGGGAAACACTGCACTAGAGCAATTCATGATTATACAATACATAAGAGATTTTAATCAGATCTATTTTTTTAAAAAAAGGCTTGTAGAATTGGTGAACCAAGGAACACATAATTAAAAATACTTACAAAGGTGTTAAATGAGCTGTAAGTATAGTGAGGAAGAGTAAAACTCAGAGTGGACTGAAATTTGGGGGGAAAAAAATGCTAAGGACAGCCCCAAATTCTCCTAGTGTTATTTAGAGCAAAGCAGTGAATAAGGAAGTTAATGGATGTGAAAGAAAGTGTTATTCTCAGTGCCTATTGCTTTCTTCTTCTTTCTAATGAAAAGAAATAGCGTTCAAAAACAGGAAGGACAACACTAAAACAAAATTAAAATCAAAGAAATATGAGAAGTTATTGTGACTGCAAGCAACTTTTTCAAATATAAAAGAGTAATGGTGGGGGCAGCCAAGAAGACTTGTCTAAAGAAATAGTGTTTTCCTTGAGATATAAAGGCTATCTGGGTGTCAGTCTGGTGAACAGTTGGAAGAGAACAATTCAGACAGAGCAAAAGTATCCGCCAAGTTCCTGGCTTGGGAAATAGCTTGATGCATTCAGTGAGCTGGCAGAAGAGTTCAGAGAGTGGGAAATAGGCAGAGAGAGACACACAGTGTGGCCAGAAAGACATTTGGGAAGTCATAAGTGTAGGTAGTTCTCTAAGACTTAGTTATTCTAGGGATGGTTTGGATTGGGAAATTGGACTAAATGACCTTCCAAAACTGTGATTCTATAAATATAAGAACACAACTTGTTTGATGTTTGATATATATTCTAGATCACAAATTAAGAGATAGTAGTGAAAGTGTAGTTAATGAAGTTGTAAAAAAAATAACAGATCAAAGTAAATTCAGTTGTAGTTGCCATATAAACCAAATGTATAATACCCAAAAATGCAGAAAGAAACTTTTTTAGTAGGTAAAACAAAATCAAGGCTATCAAGCATCACCCACATAATTTTGGGAACAATTTCAGAGAAGGCTAATTAGATCTCATAAATTAGTAAGGTTTATATAAAAATATTAAGAAAATCATCACTAATAAAATATTGTTAGTGCTGAATAATATAGCTATCAATATGAAATTAGTCTCCAAAGGTTTGATTTTTCTCCTGTGTGAAAGAAAAATGTTAATTATTTTAATATCTCTATTGTCTAGCATTAGACCCAGATAACATATAATTTTTGCTTAATGTTTTTAGTTCCTTTCTCATTTTTTCTTTGTATATTTCCTCTCTTCTTTCAATTATTTACCTATCTACCCATTTAGACAGGTAGATAGATAGATATCCATAGATATTGAAACATGCACATACCTACACACAGAGAGAATAAAGAGAGAAAGGCAACTACATATATATATATATATATATATATATATATATATATATATATATTCTAAAAAGGAAAAAATTCATTTTAAAAGGCTTAGAGAAATAAGTACAACATTTTATTTTAATCTTTTTTCTGTAGTACACATTTTTTAAATTATAGTGATCCTGGGATCAACCCAATATGTTTTCTTGTGCTTCT